ATTTAGCTCAGTGGCATAAGCGCCTGCCTGGCAAGTGCAAGGTCCTGAGTTCAATCACCAGTGTCCCGCCCCCCCAAAAAAGAAGCCAAAGAGAAATGTAACTGGGTTTAACTAAAGTGCCAGCCTGCCGCTCCCAAAAAAGCACATTTTGTGGGAACCAGGGGAAAGGAGACTGAGTTGCTGGGACCTGGACCCTATGAGTTCACGGCGTAAGCTGGGGATGGAGCTCTGCCATTCAGTATCTAACTGGCAACTATGTGTCCTAGGCCCTATTTAAGAATAAAAAATCATCCTGTGTTGTAAGGATGGTTTTCTTAATTGAACAGGTATTGTGCCCTTACCTCAGAAACAAATATTTGGAGATTTTCATTCTACCTAGTTAATTGTATCAGGTCTTTACTCTTTAGTGTTTTATTGCTGAAAGATACTGCTGAGGTATTGTGTAGGTGTATACCCAAATGGCCAAATATTTATACAGTATTTATATTGGCCTGAAGATCCTGTAAATCATCATGGGAAAAAGATGTGTCAAAATTAAATGGAAGTTAAATAAATGGAAGTCCATTTCAGTTAAATAAATTGTTTAAAGCACCAAATAAAAAAATAAAATAAATAAATCTAGAGATCTTTTGGTGGAGTTCTTGAGGTCTTCTAAGTATAGTATCATGTCATCTGCAAATAACAATAGTTTAACTTCTTCCTTTTTTTCTTTTTGTACTGGGGATCGAACTCAGGACTGTGTACTTGCAAGGCAGGCGCTTATGCCTGGTGAGCTAAATCCCAGCCCACTTCTTCCTTTCCTATCTTTATTCCTTTTATTTCTTTCTCTTGTCTAATTGCTCCAGATAAAGTTTCAAGGACTATGTTGAATAAGAGTGGAGACAGTGGACATCCTTGTCTTGTTCCTGATTTTAGAGTGAAACTTTTCAGGTTTTGTCCATTTAGTATGATGTTGGCTGTTAGCTTGTCTTAGAAGGCTTTTATCAGATGGAGATAAAGACCGTGGATTTCAATTTTCTGTAGGTTTTTTTTTTTTATCATGAATGAGTGCTGGACTTTGTCAAAAGTTTTTTCTGCATCTATTGAGATGATCATATGGCTCTGTTAATATGATGTATTACATTTATGGATTTATATATGTTGAACCATCCCTGCATCCCTGGGGTGAATCTCAGTTGATCCACGGTGTACCATCTTCTTGATGATTTGCTGCAGTCTGTTTGCCTGCATCTTATTTTTTGCATCAATGTTCATTAAGGAGATTTGCCTATAATTCTTTCTTAGTTGGATCCTTCTCTGGTTTTGGAATAAGAGGAATGCTTGCTTCCAGGAATGAATTGGGAGTATTGCTTCCCTTTCAATTTCATTAAAGACTTTGACAAGTAGTGGTGTTAGATCTTCACTAAATTTCTTGTAGAACTCAGCAGTGAATCTGTCAGGGCCAGGGCTTTTCTTTGTTGATGTTTTTATTCAATTTAATTCATTGATATTGGGTTATTTAGGATTTTTATATCTTCTTAATTTAGCTTTGGTAATTTCATATATATCTAGGAATCTGTCCATCTCTTCTGTATTTTCCATCTTATTAGAATATAAGTTTTCAAAGTAGATATAAATGATTTTCTGAATTTCTACTGTCTGTTGTGATTTTGCCATTTCATTCCTAATTGCAAGAATTTGCGTCTTGCCTTTTTTGGATAAGGTTGGCTAAGAGTTTGCAAACTTAATTTAGTCTTCCACAGAACCAACTCTTTGATTCATTGGTTCTTTGTATCAAGTTTTAGTCTCCAGTGTGTTAATTTCTGCTCTGGTCCTTATAATTTCCTCCCTTGTGTAAGTTTTTGGTTTAGCCTGCTCTCCTTTTCCTGTAAGTCTGAGGTTCAACAACAAGTTGTTTTTATGTGCTTGCTCTGTTTTCCTGATATGGGTATTTACTGCTATAAATTTCTCTCTTAAAACTGCTTTCATTGTGTCCCACAGTTCTGGTATGTTGTATTGTCATTATCATTCAACTGTAAAAACTGTCTAATTTCTTCTTTATCTGTGACCCATTGGTTGTTCTGTAGGGTGCTATCTAATTTCCATGTGTTGATGAAGTTCCTGTGGTTTCCTTTGGCATGGATTTCTAATTTTGCTCTGTGGTCTGATAGTATGCATGGGATAATTTTAATTCCTTTACATTTACTTAAGCATGTTCTATGAACCATATATGGTCTATTTTTGAGACTGTTCCGTGTGCAGCTGAGAAGAATGTGTATTCTGATGTTGTGGGTGGAACACTATAGACATCTACTAAGTCCATTTGCTCAAAAGTTTGATTTAGTTTTAATATTTCATTATTGATTTTTTTGTCTAGTTCATCTGTCTTTTTGTGACAGTGGTGTCTTTACTCAGGCTTATTTGATTTTTTGTGTCAGTAATTGTTTTATATAGCTGGGTGCACTGGTATTTGTTGCATATATATTTATGATTGTTATCTCTTCCTCTTGGATTGTTCCCTTTAGAGAATGCGGTGACCTTCTTTATCTGTCTTAATCAGTCTTGGCTTGAAATTCACTTTGTCTGCAAACAGAATAGCTACTCCTGCTTTTTCCTGGGTTCTTATTGCATGGAGTATTGTTTTCTATCGTTTGACTTTCAGTCTATGAATTTCTTTTTGAATTAAATGTGTTTCTTGTATGCAGCATACTGTTGGGTCTTGCTTCTTGATCCATTCTGCCAGTCTGTGTCTCTTGACTGGTGAATTGAGACCATTAACACTGATGGTTAGAACTGATATGTATTGACTTATCTTGTCATGTTATTTTCCTGTTGTTGGCTTCCCCCCATTTCTCATTTCCTCTCAGTGGTTGCCTTCCCTGGTGGATTCCTTCTGTTGGGGTTCATGGAGCTATAGTCCTTATCTCTTTCTATAATGTCCTCCAGAACACTTTGGAGTGCTGGTTTGGTGGTCATAAATGTTCTCAGATGTTCTTTGTAATGGAAGTATCTTATTTCTCTATTAATTTTGAAAGATAGTTTTATGGGATTCATCAATCTGGGTTGAAAGTTGTTCTCTTTTAAAATGTGGAATACTTTACTCCAAGTTCTCCTTGACTTGAGTTTGTGATAAGAAGTCAGCTGTGATTCTGATGGGCTTTCTTTTATAGGTGACTTGTTTCTTTTCCCTAACAGTTTTTACAATTCTATTCTTGTGTTGAACTTCTGGAATCTTGACTATGATATGCCTGGCTGTAGATTTTTTTTATCATTACTAATGGTGTTCTATATGCCTCAGTTATTTGTATGTCAAATTCTTTTTCTCTACTAGGAACGTTTTCTGTCATGCAGTCTGTGAACATTGTTTAAATGTCATTTGTGGCATCTCTGGCTTGTTCATGGACTCAAATCAATCTTAAATTATTCTTCATTGTCTCATATAGCAGCTGCTGAATTGATTTCTCATGGCCCCTTACTATTTTTGAAAAATCTTTCTTTTTCTGGTCACTAACTGCAAACCTATCTATAATATCTGAGATCCTATCCTCACATTGGCCTAATCTGTTTTGAATACTCTCAGTGGAGTTTTTATTCTCCTGGATATCTGCTTGAATCTGCTTTATGGGTTCCATTTGTTTCCTTCATTTTTATTTTTTATTTTTGGTGCCAGGGATCGAACTCATGACTTCGCACTTGCCAGGCAGGCACTTAAGCCACTGAGATAAATCTCCAGCGCCTCCATTTGCTTCTTATGCTGCACTCCATAATTTGCTTAAACTCATCTAATTTTTTGTCTGTGTCTGCCCTAATGTTGCTCAGCGTTGTGTATATTTTGATAATCTCTGTAGTTATTTGAGAGATTATTTCTGATTTCATCTTTTTCCAGTGTCTCATTCAATCGCTTTGTTGCTCCTACTCCAGAGAGAACTGGTGGGGAGCTCACAGATTGTCCTATCTCATGACCTCTGTGTTTGCCTTCTGTGAACTGGATATTTGGGGTTGCATCTTGTTTAAGTACCTTCTCTTTTTTTTTTTTTTTAGTTTTATTCCTGAGGTGATGCTTGTAAGTTGCCTATTGTGGGTTGCTTCACTGGTGACATTTAGGACACTTAGGTGATGATTACTTCTCCGAAGTATCTTCCAAGTGTAGCTAGTTTCTAGGTTTTGAGTCTGTTGGAAGATCTTAGCTCTTCAGTTTGTTGGAGATGAGAAGCTATTGCTTGTTTGGCCTAGTCCCTGGTTCTTGGCACTGTGCCACAGTACTTTCCGTGACCCTTAGTTAATCTCAGTCATGGATTATCAGGGCCAATAGCTGTTTAGAACAATTATGCCATTCTTGCACCTGGCCAGCCAGCTCAAGTTACTCAGTAATCCCTGACATCCTCACTATCACTCATTCCTGAGCCACACCCGTTCTTCACAAGATAATAAATGCTGGGAGAGGCCTAGGATCGAGGCCTTTGTCTGCATGTCCTCATGAGGATTGGACTTAAGACCCCTTGGCTGCCCTTAACTTGGAACATGTCTTGGTGTCTTTATTCTCGCTGTGGATTGGATTGGTGGTGGTAGACTGGAATTAACTTGCTAGGATTCCAATAATGTCTCAATGGGATTACAAATATAACTTTTTGGGGGCTGGAGGTTTAGCTCAGTGGCATAAGTGCCTGCCTTGCAAGCGGGCAGTCGTGAGTTCGATCCCTGGTACCGATAAAAAGGAAAAAGACAAAACAAACAAACATAACTTTTTGGGTTGTGAGGAAAACTAAAAAAGAGGATTACAATACTTGGATGACTGAACTCGATATTTGGGTTTACAATAACTTTTTACTTATTGTTGAGACAAAATACCTTATGCTCGGGGCTGGGGATTTAGCTCAGCGGCATAAGCGCCTGCCTTGCAAGCAGGCAGTTGTGAGTTCGATCCCTGGTACCGATAAAAGCGAAAAAGACCAAAAAAAAAAAAAAAAAACAACCAAAATGCCTGATGCCCAAAGTTAAGGAAGGAAAGGTTTATTTCTTACAGTTCTTGAAGGTTTCAGTCCATACTTAGTTGGTTCCAAGGCAGTGTGGTGTGGCAGTGCAGCCATTCATGTTCCCTGCAAGCAACAAAAGCAAAAAAGAGAGACACTTTCTTCCTACCATTACACCTCATCCTGGTTCCACCCCTGGGCAGGTGAAACACTCACACCACCAATCAGAGCACTAGACAACAAACCAATCACAAACGCTAGATTTGATCACATCTATGATTGCATGAGGCTGGGGTGGGGCCACATGAACACAAACCACAATAAAAACAAAACCAAAAAAAAAAAAAAAAAAAGGAAAACTAATTAGTTCACTTCCAGGATTCTCTCTGGGTTCACTAGTAGACAGCTTGTGGAGACAAGAGTCCTGAATTGTGCCACTGTATCCCAGCAAGCCTCATTGCTTTATGGCGGAGCAGTAGATAACCTTAGCAGGTCTGTTCTGAGACCAGACTCACTGGGCTCACCACAGGCCAAGCAGTTTCCATGGGTCCTTGCCCAACTAGGAGCTGCCGGAGGGAGTTGGCAGCAGTTCAGGTTCTGGGCTTATCCAGCCTGACTCCAAAGTGGCTGCTGGCCAATCACTCTCTCCTGCTGGAGGACTGAGTCTTCTGTACTCACCCCAGCCAGTGCCGTCCTTCATGTCCGCTGCTCCCCTCCACTGCCGTGCCTCTCTGCAGAGGCCTCTGCGGTTGCCAGCCATCACACCATCACTGTGACAGTGCCTCCCCAAGTTCCCACGGCTCCTCTTATGCTGTGAGTCCAGCTCAGGGAGAAGGTGCCACCACCACGATCTTCTTCTTTGTTGGAGTTTTTCTTTTCACTCTCTGACAATCTCAGCTTTTGATCAGCGTCCCAAAAACTCTATCACCATCATTATCACCATGGGGGATCTTTGTGCAGTAGAAGGAACTGTTCTGGGCCGCGTGTGAATGAAAGAAGAGGGCCTCATCCCGGACAATCACCATGGGCGGGGCCGCGGATTTCAGTCCCCACTGCGCCCTCTGCTGGAGCCTGGAGCCTCGGAGATTGTGCTTTTCCCTGGTGAGCCCTGGCTCACTGGTCATGTCCATGCTACCTTCTTAAGTACCAAATGTCTCCTTCAAATAACCAAAACCATTTATTTGGTTCTTGGCAACTGTAATTCCTAGAAAATCCCCATTACTCATGTTGGATACAGCTGATAAGGGGAAAGGACTCTTTACATTTTTTGTTGTTTTGAGACAGGGTCTTGCTATATAGTCAAGCTGGCCTTAAACTCACTATGTAGCCCAGGCTGACCTCAAATTTGCAGTGATCCTCCTGCCTCAGCCTCCTGAGTACTGGAATAACAACTTTCACATTCGTTGTGGGTCCAGCCCTTTTGGTTCTATAACTATAGCAGTGTTTATAAAACATTAGATGAACACCCTGGCAGCAGAGTCTTTGAGGGAGTGGGGGCGGGGAGACCTCAGGTGCCAGCGACCTTTGTCCATTCCTCGCCTTAGGATCTCTGGGAAGCCAGGTCGCTGCTGGCTTCACAGACACATTGTTCTTTGCCCTCACTCATTTGTTCAACAAATATTTATTGAACAGTCTCCCTATGCCAGTGTGCCAAGTGCTGGTGAGAAAAGCAGTTTCTAGTTTAGTGAGAGAAACAGGTTTTAGATGGAGTCACACAGAGAAATGGAAAATTATGGTCATACTGGTACCCAGTCTGAATACCACTCTAAGATCTCCAAACCTTTTCTTTCCTATAGATGTTCAGGGTTTTGGAACAGGACAATGAAAAGATCATAAAATAATGACTCAAATATTTCAGTTTGCAGCAGTGACTGACCCAAAAGAATAAATGTCTAATAATAACACCTGCAAGGCCTTTGTCAACTGGCTAATGGCTCAAAGCTAGCCAGAGCCTAGCATGGTGGTGCATACTTACAATTCCAGCTACTCAGGAGACTCAGGCAGGAGGATGACAAGCTCAAGGGCAGCCTGGGCAACTTAGCGAGACACTGGATTATTTTTTTCTTTATAAAATCTCAGAGGGAATTCCTGAAGTTGCCCACATCTGACAAACTGGAAATGGTCAAATGTGCACTGAGGAAGGGGCTTCTGCTCCTGAGTCCTCACCCACCGCTCCTTGACAGCCATTGCAAACCCAGCATCAGCTGAGTTAGCTCAGCTCTTGGCACTAGACAGGTACTTTTTTTTTTTTTTTAAATAAACTATGGTGGAGCAAATACAACTGACCAGATGAATTTAAAACCAGTCATATAGCTGGCACATGCCTGGCAGCATGGCAGATGCCTGGCAAGCTTGAGGTCCTGAGTTCAATTTCCAGTACAAAAATAAATAATGACATGACATCAGCAACCCTTCCCTTTATTTTGACCTCTGCTTTATCCGCTCTTTTCACCTCCCACTTTTGCCATGGCTTGGGACCATGTTCTTGCTACCCTGAACTGCTAATCCAGCCTCCCAAAAGATATCCTTGCTCCAGGCTCAGGTAATCCACGGTTTCTCTGTGTTCCCTCACACTGCCAGCAAGGTCACCATATACCTGGAAGCAGTCTGGTAACTCCTCTGTTCTACAACCTTCAGTGGCTCCCAATGGCTGTGGGAAGAAGACCAAAGTGTTCAGCACAGCATCCAAATTAAGCATTATCATCCCCTTTTAAGCATTTCTCCTACTATCTGCCCTCCTGGACACAATTCTTTTCTCTGGACTAATCTTTAAAGGTGTGAAAGCTGGGGGTGTGGCTCTGAGAGAGCACTTGCCTACCATGTGGGAGACTCTGGGTTCCATCCCCAGGACTACAGAAAAAAAAGTAGACAACTCAGTACAGTACTGCATGCTTGAGGGCCCAAAAGTACTGACAAGGGGAAGCAGTGAAACAAAAGGATACACAAGAAAGGACAAAGAAAGCCAGTAGGAGTTGGGCTTAAGACTCACGAAGGGGCCAGGTGTGTAGCACATGCCTCTAATCCCAGCAATTGGGAGACCGCAGGCTGAGGCGGGAGGATCACCCGTGAGTTCAACGCCAGCCTGAACTACATAGCAAGACCCTGCCTCAAAAAGAAAAAGTCACGCAGGGCTGGGTTGTGCTTCAGGCTGAGTCAGCTATGTCACTACTATGTCCCTGCGTCTCTCAAAGGTCATAGGAGCAACAAGACAGCTAATTCATCCCTAGTCGGTTGGAAACCCTGGCCAGCTGAGTGGCCATCTCAGCTTGACTAGCACCATGGAGATGAGGGTCCTCAGGGTCTGTGGCTATCAATGTGTTAAAGAATAAAAAAAAATAACTTCATGATGACATTTTTAAAAATTTTCTTGTTTTGTCTTTTGCAGTGCCAAGGATTGAACCCAAGGCCTCATACATGCTAAGAAAATGGTCTACCACGGAGCTAAATCCCATTAAGCTTTTAATTGGGTTTATTTTTTGTTCTACAATCTGGCAATCCTTTATTCCATAACACAAAATGAATGTGTCAATTAGCCAAACAGACAAGGTCTATTTTATAGATAGAGAAAAGATTGATGAAAGCAGAAGCAAAGAACAAAAGGGCTGGGCATTTCAAAGTTACTTTCCTTGTAAAGCAGGGCCAGGAGGACAGTAATAGTTACTTCATATCGGGTTCCTTCAGGTTCCTCTGTGAGCATGTGGAAGGGTTAAAGTTCAGGGGAGTTTATCATTATAAAAATTAAAAACTGGCCAGTTTGGGATATTTGATTGTTATCTTTCATTTCTCTTGATTTTTTTAGAAGGTAAAATAAGCATTTTAGTTTCTGTTTGATGTGTGGAACTTTATTGTGAGTGATTTCATTTTGATTTTTACTTTGGTCTGCTGGGGCCCAGTGGAGGAGCCTAATCCAAAACTTGGCCTTCTATAATTTGTATGTAACAAGATTTAAACCAGGAAAATCTGGCCTTCGCATGAAGTGGACTCTGCCATGCAAGATGGTAAGAGACTCAGCAAGAAGGCAAACCACAAGCCAGATGGTGTGTGGGCTGGGAGACCAGAAGAGCATCCACCAACACCACCAACACCACCATCACCACCACCTCTATGGTAAGCAATTGGCTGACTGGAGGACTCTGGGTGAGACATAGCAACTGAGCTGAAGGGAGCAGCTTAATGCTTGTGTTGTTTGGTTGGCCTGGGCCTGGTGGTCGGGGCATCTACTTGGGGAGGGTGACAGTGTGCATTGTGGCAACTGTGGGGGATTATCCTTCTGTCTTGTTTTTGGAATCCAATGTTTTATTTCCTTTTACTGTTGTTTTGTTTGTAGGTCTAATGGCCTCAGCAACTACTTTGAAGGAACAATATACAGTACAACAACCATTGCTAAATTCCTATCATCTTGTTTTGAAAACCTATATATAGCTGGGATTTTGTTTTTGTGTTTGCTTTTTGTCATTTTGCTTTTGTTGCTGTTTTTTAGGGTTTTTTGCTTCTTGATTCATCTGTTTTTTTCTCTTTAAAATAAAAGAAAAAAAAAGAAACTAAAAAAATCCATGTACCAAAGGCTTTTTTGGGGGGAAGGGGACAGTGTCTCACTATGTAGCCTAGGCTGGCCTTGAACTTGTGGCAGTCTTCCTGCCTGAGTCTGCTGAGTGCTGAGATTACAGGCATGTATCACCACACCCAGCTCTCTGGAGGCTGAGGCAGGAGGACTGCTGTGAGTTGGAGGCCAGCCTAGATTACATAATGAGTTCAAGGCCAGCCTGGACTACAGAGTGAGACCTTGTCACAAAAACAACAAAAACAAAACAAAACTCTAGGGGCACATGTGAAAAAAAACATCAGGAAAATTTGATATGAATCAAATTTGAGTGATGAATTAAATCTTCATTGTGAAGTTTGCCTAGAAAATAATTATTGCATATAAAAATGATTTCAGCAAAACTTAAAATGGGAAAAAAAAGAATTATTTAAACTGTACTATATGGAATATTCTATAGAAAATTAAGTCTAAGTGAAAATTTATCAATGAAAGGTTCTTGCCCTATAATAAATTACTGTATGGTTATGGAAGTGGTCTAACATGGCAGAAGGCCAAAGCAGGAACACTTACCACTTCCTGCTTCTTCTTCAGCCTTAATTGCAATTCCCCTTCCTGTTTGTGCAGGAAGAAAATTCCAATCAGCTCCAGGCGCCTCATCAATGCCTGCCCTAAGTGCCACCCCTGGTCAGAGGTTATATGTATATCCCATGTCCCATATTCCAGGGCAGAGGTGGCTAGACCATCTATGGTCATGGGCTCCTCTCCATGTCCTTGGAATAAAGACTATATTTTACTTTACATTCTCTGTGTTATCACGCTGAAAACTCTTTCATAATGGTGCTGTGACTCAGATGGCAGAGTGACGCCAGGGATTCTCCAAACTGGGAATCCCTCCCAGTTTGAACTCCCCTGCCTGAGAACCACCTTTTTCTTCCTCTGGGACTGTTTACTTGCTGCCGCTAATCTGCAAACAGCGAGCTGCCATCCAGGGTTTTCTGTTTCCGTTCCTAATTTGCAAGCTTGCATCAGAGAACCCATCCTGCCTGCCAAGAGGAACAGGGATACCAGTTTTCATGCTCCTTAGGACATATGGCTTGAAGCACAACTGTCATTTTTGTTCCCTGGGACACTGCCCCAAACTCTTCGGTGACCCGGCTGAGGAGAACAGGTGTTGGGAGTTTCCATTGTCACACTTTCAAACCTGGCGAGGACCTCTTTTGATAGGTGTGACCCAGCAACAGCTTCCATGTTCCTTGGGGGGAGCTAAAGCTCTTACGTCCTGAGGCAAAGTTGTTCTCTCAGCTCACTTATAATTTGATCATGGGGACCACTTCCCGTCCCCCAAAAAACATACCTCTGGGGTGCCTGGTTCGTAACCTTGGTGCTCTAGGCCTCAAGAGGGCTATAAAAACCAAAAAGCTGGGGCTGGGAATTTAGCTCAGCGGCATGAGCACCTGTCTTGCAAGCAGGTGGTCATTAGTTCGATCCCCGGTACAGAT